CGGGTTCCTCTCGGGGGACTCCGAGAGGAAACGCTTTCTATGGAGTGCGGGTGGCGGGCGGCTCTGAAGACCGCAGCCTTTGGGCAGGTAACGGAGGGTGAGGGTGCGAGTGCTCCTTCGGGGATCTTGCCGGGGACTTGCCGGGCTGGTGCGGCTCTTCTGGGGAGGCGGGAAAACCAGACACCCCCCCCAAACCCGACGACCCCCCTAACGACTGCTGTCCCCGAAGGACAGGGACGGGACAGCGGGTATCGCCTGTCAGCTGGGTGCAGCAGGGAGGAGCAGGCCCGCAGAGGGAGATAAGAGTCTGTCAGGCCTTTGTTCTGCGATAATCTTGTGCGTTCTGGGAGCACGTTCTAGGAAGAATTCTGTACTTCGAGGAAGGTGTTTCATGTAGACATGAGGGCAAGAGGCACAGCTGTGCTTTGTGCTGCTGCTTTTTCTAACCTGAGGCTCTTGTGGCACTTTATGGAGGGAAGCAGCAACTTGTACTCGTTTTACATATAGGGAAAGTACAGATCTGAGAACAAAGTTAATTGCCCCAGGCTACACAGCTCATCGGTGGGAGAAAGGTGAAACTCTCCTGTGGCTGCTTGAGTCTGCTGCTGCTTGCATGTGTGGAATGATTATTCTGGTTTTATTTGACTGACTTTTGCAGTTCTTGTGCGAGGGAATGTTGTTCCTTACTGCTGTAAGGTCTGTTGCTCGCTCTGTGTGCACACCTAAGCTGTAGCTTTTCTGCTGCTTGGTCCATAAAATAAGTTCTTCAGTGAAATGCTCTTGCCACTGTATGCATCCATGCAGTTCAGGGAGTTTGTACATATGAGTGATTTTACTCAGGCTACTCATTTCTAATGCTTTTGATTGGGAGAATGTAGCGGTCATACGTGCCTGACTGTCGGAGAACGCCAAAGTCCTCTCTAGCTACGGGACGGATGATGTGGTCTTTGTTTAGGGCTTTGCTTTCTGCTTCGTTGCAGCTGGCCCGGATTCAGACTGACAGCATAGTCAAGATGCTCCGTGAGCTGTACCCCGAGCTCCACTTTGAGATTGGTAAGTTTGAATGCCACCCCAGGGAAGGCGGCAGCAGGAGCCAGCCGCTTATCATTGTGTGCAAGAGGTGTGTGCGCGGTGCAGGAGTGAGGAGGAGGATTCGATCCCGCTTATCTACAAGTGCCGTCTGATTTCAGTTGCGTTGTGTGGCTGAGCAGCTGCTGCTGGTTTCTTCTGGGGGAGAAAGATGGATTTCATAAGCTCCTGACGGTTGGAGCGCTGAGTACGCCGTGCAGATGGTGTTAATGTTGCTCCATTTGAGAACCTGGTATTGCTGTGGCCGGGCCCTGCTGTGCCTTGGGGATGTTTTTCCTGGCTGGGGCTTGAGAGGTTCAATGGGAGCAATGGGAGCCTGCCCTCTTGCCACTTACTCTGTTTTTGAGGACAGTGAAGGAAGTCTCCGTGTCACTTGTCTCGAGTGCAGTGTTCCCAGGAGCAAGCAAGCTGCTTTTATATTACCTCAAGTCCGTGTTCATGCAGTAGTACGTGATGCTACTGCTCATTGTGTGTTGCATAGATATTTCCAGTCTGGGCCTAGGTGCTCTGAATGAGTCTCACATTTTACCTGTGCTCTTTCTGAGCAGTTGCCATGTCAACTACTGGAGACAAGATCCTGGATACAGCACTTTCCAAGGTAACGGATCTCTTTTTTGCTCTACGCAAGAAGTAGTTGTGGTTGATGATATATTTGCTGACCTTTCCGTGGTGATTCTTGTTCTTCCATTTATATGTAGATCGGGGAGAAGAGTCTCTTCACCAAAGAGCTGGAAAATGCACTTGAAAGAAATGAGTAAGAGCTCCTTGTCTTCTCTTCCTCCTCTGGCATGCCTGGTGCTCTTTCTTTGGACACCTTTGGCTTGCTGTGTGTGATCCTAGTCTCTTTCTGTTCTGATACCTCTTTGGCCAAGAAAGAACGTATTTAGTGTGACTGTGTTAACGTCCACTAACATCTTAGCACACCAAACATGCAGGAGACATGGGCACCTTGCGCTGCTTTCTGGGTAATGTCTTTCTACAGAAAACACTCAGTTTGGGCTCCTGCTGGAGCAGAGACCTGAGCACTTTTGGGGTTGTTTTGGTCTTTTTTTAATTTTCAGTATCACGAGAAGGTTTCAGTGGTGCTTATGCAGTAGGTTTAAAACTAAAAGATGGTATTCTGCATCTGTGACACACAGGCACATGATACTGTGCTTTCAAGTAAAGCCAGTGATAAGAAATACTGGAGACTTAAGCATTTATAACGATGTTCATTTGCTTTGTAATGGAGCAGGTGACAGCTTTTGCTTTGGCTATGTGTTATTTCCAGTTCAAAGCATGATAGCAGACAAGGGACTAGTTGCATGTTGGTATGATGAGTTTCTTTCCACATGAACATCTCCAGTGTCTTTCTTACCCTCATTCGACCCAATGGTCGTAATGTGTGTTGCAGCACTGCGGGGAAGTCATCACTTTTGTTTTACAGGTGGGAAAAGAGACAGAGAAGGATGAAGTGGCTTTTCTGGAGTAATGCTAGAATTCTATAAGAATTCAGTGATTACTGTCCTCTTGTTTTTAGAGTTGACCTCGTGGTTCACTCCTTAAAGGACCTGCCAACTTCTCTTCCTCCTGGCTTTACCATCGGTGCTGTCTGCAAGTAAGTGTGGACGCGAGGCTCGATTCTGTAAGGGATGTGCGTTTTACAGCATCAGTAGTGGCAGCAAAACAAGGGTGATGTAGGTCATTTTAGGTGTTCAGAGTCTGACCATTTTCTAATTAATCTCTGAAACAGTGGAAACACTAGAGCTGATCTCGTGTTCTGTAGCTGGCAGGCTAGCTGGAAATTCTTGCTTTTGTTCTGATGGTTTATGGGTTATTTTGGAGCCAGAGGTGGTTCCTCTGGGGCCTGAAAGAGAACTGTTAAGCTTAATAGCCTTCTGTTAAATGATGTCAGCCATTCTGTGTTTGTATTGTTTTGCAGAAGGGAAAACCCACTTGATGCCGTTGTCTTTCATCCCAAAAACTCTGGGAAAACACTGAGCCTCCTTCCTGAAAAGAGGTGAGTGGGGAGAGGAAGGGGAAGACAGGTGCAGTCGGTGATGGTGGCTAGGGACTGCCCTCCAGAAGCATCTCCTGTAAATCTATTGCTTGGTATTGGCTTGTCTGCATCTAGCTTCAGCCAGGCTTTAATGCTAAACCTCACAGAGTGGTTTTCTTTCTCCTAAGGAGATAAAAATGATTGGCAGGTTCTTGGATCTTCATTTTAATTAAGGCTTGAAAGTTCAGAGTTATTTCAGCTGGAGGTGAGGTGAATGTAGGAGTATTCTGGGTTTCATTCATTTCATTTTCCCCACAGTGTGATTGGAACCAGTTCACTTCGCAGAGCAGCTCAGCTCAAAAAGAAGTTCCCTCAGTTAGAATTCAGGGATATTGTATCCTTTCCTGGCAAAATGAAATGTGGGGGCTGGGTAAAGCTGCAAACGGGAAACTAGAACTTAATGTAAAATCTAGATTCAAGGCTAATTTATACCACTTGATGCACAAGAGCAAAGTGCTTCATCAGATGCTGCCCTCACCTAGCCTGTTTGGTGAGGGATGTATAGTGCACTGTTGCCATTCTGCCCTTTGCTTTCTCGTGAGCCTGTAAAGAAGGGGCCAGCCTTCATCTAGCAGAAAGAGTTGTCTGTATGTAATGCTGCTTTCAGGATGATACTCTCATTCTCATTTGGAGGTTGTCGGATTCTGTACATTCTGCAAACACACTCCAGCAAACGTTACGTGGGGATAGGACCATTTGCCTGCTCTTTCTATGCTTGCTTAATCACTTCTACAGAGAGGGAATTTAAATACCCGCTTAAAGAAGCTAGATGAGAAGGAGGACTTCAGTGCCATCATCCTGGCTGCTGCTGGCCTGAAGAGAATGGGCTGGGAGAATCGCATTGGTCAGGTGAGGAGCAGCAAAGCAGAAGGTACCATTCCCTGGTGAACCATCACCTGCTTGCCTGTCAGACCTTGCGGTCGTCCTGTCAAAGGCAAGCGTGTGGTCTGCCCGATCTGCTGAAACCGGACACAGGTTAACTTGGATTTTGCTTTCTTCCAGCTCCTAAACCCTGAAGATTGTCTGTATGCTGTTGGACAGGTACGTTACAACTCTCATCTCTTAAGCCGTGCCTGGTATCGAAAGCCAGTGGCAGTACAGTGCGTTTCCAGTTTAGAAAAGAATTATTTTGTCACTGTTACTCATTCAGCACTTGATCTTTATCTTGAGAAAATGTTGAGAAGCTTGGATTCATCCAGGTTTCTTGCCACAAGGAACATTGGGGCGGGTGTTTGTATGTATGTCTCTTAACTGAGAGAGGCTTTAGAATGGCTTGAGGTGACAGTGAGATCTTGAATACTTTGGCCAAAGGAAGTTCTCATCTTCCCTTCACAGCAGTTGCTGTAGGATGCCCGTGCAACCAGTGCATTGTTTTGTAATTTATTTCTGTAAATGGCTAAACATTGCTCTCTTAGCAAAATGCATCCAGACCTCTGAGTCTGCTTCACGACTGATGCTGAGCACACAGAGAGGTATGAAGTCGAGGAATACCAACGCTTATCGCATTGCATGTTTCTCTTCTTGTAGGGCGCCTTAGCAGTGGAAGTTCGTGCCAAAGACCAAGAGATCCTGGATATGGTGTCTGTCCTGCACGATGCAGACACTGTGTTATGCTGCATTGCTGAGAGAGCCTTTATGAAACGTTTGGTAGGTGGGGCATCCCGGCTCTTCTGCCTGTGGCAGTAAATACTGCTCTGCTAGCTGACCCGACACCACGGCGTGGGGAACCTTTCCTAAAGCCATGAAGTAGAGATTGCTTCTGAATCGAGAAGGGCCTGAAGAGTGATGGGTGGGGGTTTGTGCAGCCTAAACTTTTCAGAGGCCTCTGGTTTGAACCTGTCAGGTAGGAGCCTCAATGTCAGCTGCTTTCTGTTTTAGGAGGGTGGATGTAGCGTCCCTGTCGCCGTCAGCACGATGTTGAAAGATGGCCAGGTGAGGAGTACGTTGTATTTATCTGGGGTTATTTCTGAAAACCTATTCAAGTGCATGCATGTTCCCTGGTCCTACCTTGAGGGTAACTCCGGCAGATATCTTTATAGCTGCCCTTTATAGCAGAGAGGCTCCTGACTCAAGCATTCTGAGTTTGTGTCCAAAGCAGGAGTATGAGAACAGGCCTGGCGACTGAAGCTTGGTCTTCTAGGAAATGCCTTTACTAGAAGTACCAGATTCCCCCTGCCCCCTTAAAGGTAATGGTGCCCTAAGATTTGAAAGCCTTGCTCCCGAACCCAGAAAAATCTGTGTCTTATACAAGAGGAGTGTGACTGAGGAGGTGGGAATCTAGAACACAGTTCACCTTTTTCCTTGGGAAGTTGCATCTTGCCTAACAGGGGTCACTTTTCTTATAGCTGTGTTGTTAAGCTATTCTTGCTGGTCCCACTGCACTATAGAAGCCTTCCCCACTGCACTGAGCTTTGAATGTTGTGCATTTTGGTTTTTTAAGGGGGTAGTTGGCTTTCTATTTGTTAACATTGTATTAATCCCTTCTGTGTGTCTTCCCAAGCTGTATTTGACAGGAGCCGTCTACAGTTTGGATGGATCCGATAGCCTGAAGGAGACTATGCAGACCAGTGTTAGGTATCCCCAACAGGTATGTGAACCACAGCGGCAGCTTCAAAACCCAAACCTGAAGCCACGTGACAAACCCAGACCTTTTGAAATCTGCCTGTTATTTTGGGTCTGGATCCGTGGAAACTAGCTGTGCACTGCTCAGAGCGTTTCAGATTGTAGCACGTTTCACATCTGGCTTGAACTATTCACTGCGCACTCCTTCCTGCTGCCTTACACAGAGGTGATTTATATTTGCAGCATGAAGATGGACCAAATGATGACGTGCAGCATGTTGGCATCACAGCCAAGAACGTCCCTGGTCAGGCCCTGGAAGCTGCAGAGAACCTCGGTGTTGAACTAGCTAGTTTACTTCTGAGCAAGGGAGCGAAACATATCCTTAGTGTGGCAAGGCAGCTCAACGATGCCCACTAAACCTGTGGTGTGCCCTGCACAATTGCCACAACTCTGGCAAGTCTTGGCAGCTATGCTGTCCTCCTCCTTTGGAGGAAGGGATTTCTTCAAATGCTCGCACTGGTCTCATCTGACATGTGGGCACAAAAGCTTGAAATACCAAGTTAACTGAAATCTTTTATGCTGTTCAGGTTTTTTGGCCCTCTCTGCATTTCTCTAAATTGCAAAGTGTGCATTTGATTTTTTTGAACAATATTTGTAGCTAGGAAGGTAAAAAAGGATTGAAAGTAAGCTGTAAATGTTCCCCTGTTGCCATTAGGAACAAAGCACTTGTTACAGATTATAGTCAGAGTCAACTGTGATGGCACTCGAGTGCTCTATTGTGTTGACAGTACTTCAGTAGTCATTAATATTTTTTGGTCCTGTTTGCTTATCAGTGTTGGAGAGGAAGACTGCTATTAGGACCCTACTAGCAGGTTCCTCAGCAAAGTAGCACGGATGTCATGTGCATAGGTCTGGCTTAAAGCAAGAAATTAAGTCTGCAGTTACCGGGTGCAAATTTGTCAGTCGGCCAGTAATGAATTAGGAAGCGAGTGGACAACCAGTCACTTCCCTCACTTGCCAGGCTACAAGGCTGGTCAGAGAGCATCATTCATCTGCACTAACCAGTTAATGGGGAGCAGGAGGAAGCCCAGACAAGCTATTGTGCCTTTCTTTGCTAGCGCCAGCCCCTTACTATGTGGGTTCTTGTGCTCCCGACCATGTAACCATGTGCTCAGCAAGGCTCATGGTCCAGTGCCTTGTGGAAACACTGAAGCAGCACCTTACCGGGGTCCCGTTTTGGAAACGAAGTATTGTTTATTCTTTATGCAACGACCAGTAAATGTAACAGGCGATAAATACATCAACATGGTAAGCAGCACCCCAGAGTCAGCGTAAGTCTTTACGGAGCAGCTCTCGTGTTCACAGCTTCGCGGACCGGCGCCGCGGCAAGCACCAGCGCTCCTCCGCTCCGCAGCGCCCGCGGTGGG